CTTGACACCCCATTTCCCCCAGATAGATCTACATTTGCAGGGCTGTTTGATGCACTAAAAAAAAATTAAGACATAAAATCAAATGACTGGAAATGCATTATTTCAAAATATGTTGATCAAGAGATGGCAAACGTATAAGAAGCTTGACATAAAAGGTCCCATGTTGTATGATTCCACCTACATGAAATATCAAAAATAGGCAAATCCATAGGTTAGATGGAAAGTCATTTAAGGTTCACGAGGGGCTGGGAGAAGAGAGGGGCATGGGGTCACTTTTAGGAATGATGAAATGGCATGGAACTAGATAATGTGACAGTGGCACAACACAGTGAATTTACCAAATGCCATCACATACATGCTTTTTAACATGGTTAAAATTGTGACATTTGTGGTATGTGTATTTTACCACAAAAGAAAAAAGTGAGAAGAGAGAGGAGAGAGCAGCTCAACTGACACCTGCTCAGTGGCACAGGAGAGTGTGGGGAGGGTCCTCTGAGGAATCACTGGGAAATCTGGGGTCACAGGAGTGGATATCAGTGAGGACAGCAATTGTCATCTAACTGGGACAGGTCCTAGCCAGGGACAGTCATGGCTGCCAGTGCAGTATGAGTGGTTGGCCCTAGTCTCAGCTCACATTCGTGCCTTCTCCCACTGGCGTGAAACAGTACCCCCAAAGTGCATTTTTTAGGCTCACTTCCAAGCTTGGCACCTCCTGGAGAGAAGCCCCAGCCTACACAGAGTCATATGGTTCTCCTCCAGATGCTGGCACCACCGACTCTGTGCCAGTGGAGGGTACCAGGCTCCCGGAATCCCCAGTCATCTGTGTATCCTCTTGGGAGGCCCTGGGCCTTTGGCTTCTGGTAGCCTCGAGGGCATCCAACACAGTAGTGCTCTGAACAGATTCTTTGTGATGGAGTGAGTGAGGGAGGCCCCACAGAGAGCAGTCTTATGGGTTTCACGGCAACCACACCATGAAAGCTGAGGCTTTTCCCTCATGGCTCATACTGGAAACCTTGGGTTGAGAGTCGGATTTCCTGGGAGAGCTTCTCCAGCCAATGTCACTGGGCCTGGTGGTTTCCGGTATGAAGGAACTGTGTTCCTTTTCTGCAATGTATGCAACAACCTAATTTTTAAAGGAAATGACTTACATAGCATCTTCACGTTGGGGAGTAACCTAAACACTGCCCATGTTGACTCTCTGAGGTTCTGAGACCTCTCAGAGCAAGTCGCTGAGACAGAAGGGATCAGAGCTAACAAGTGGCAGAGCTAGGCTTCAAGTCCTGGACGCTTACTTCCGGAGAAGAAGCTCTGCTCATGACCCTAGGTGCTGGCAGAAATCTTCAGGAAAACACACACAAAATTGGTGTTGTTATATTTACGAGGGAATTTTCTTTTTCTTTTTTTGTGTCCATGCAGAGCAAAATGTTTCAAAGCAAACATCTTTCTTCACACCCGAGGGAGAGACGTGTCTCATTTTCGCTTTGGCAATCGAAATGGAAGAGGAAACGCGCGATTTCGTCGCCCATGCGTTGCGGGTCTGTGCTGCACCCTGGCCTCCCCGCCAGAGTCTTCTCCCCCTCCCAGGCTCTCTCCTTCGGGGCGCCGCTACTTTCTGCTCTTCTTCCCCCACGGTTCTGGATAAGGACCTGTCCTCCCGTCCCTCCCCCGAATCGGGTCGAGGGACCCAGCGTAACCCCGCCCCCGGTCCCGGTGTTGAGCCCGGGGCCTCACGCCTGCTCGCTCACGCCCTCCGACGCCCTCCTCTCCCGACCACCAGGGCCTGCGCGCCGCGCGCCTCGGGGCTCCGATCCCACCCACGACTGTGGGTGCTGCCTGCCTATCCCGCGTGGGAGCTGGAGTCAGAACCCGACAGACCTGCCTGCCCCCAGCCGGGACCGGGCACGTCACTTAACCTCCCCCAGTCTCGGTTTCCTCATCGGAACCGGGCCGATCCCCACAGGTGGCCGCGTGGATCCGGGGCGCTCGGCACGGGGCGGCGCCCGCTTGGTGCCCGCTTGGTGCCCATCCTAGGTCTCTTGCGCAGCATCGGCTCGGTGCGCGCTGCCCGGCTCCCGCCTTCACTCTGCTCGGAGGCAGAACGTTGCCTCAGCTCGGTACTCTGAAACGTCCCTGGAGGCCCGCTGAGGGCGCCGAGGCACATCTAGGACAACCCGGAAGGATCTGCTCGCGCTCGACCCCGACCTTACCGCGCTGCACGGGTTCCCTCCCCGGGCGCCCCCACTCAGACACCTGCGGCCCGGGCGCCATCTGCGCGCGGCCTGGCGACCTCGGGGACGGGGACGGGGACGGGGACGGGGACGGGGACGGGGACGGGGACAACCCCCCCGCCCGCCGAACGCGCCCCTGCCCCCGCGGCGCCCCGGCACCCCTCTCCTCCCCCGGAGGAGCATTGTACTCACATCCGGGGCTGGGTTTTGCCTTAACGCGAAACGTAATTAACCCGGAAAAAAAGAGCCCAGAGACCGGAGCGCAGGAAGGGGCAAGGTGCTGGGGGCGGGGGGGCAGAGCCCGAGAACGACGGGCACCGCGAGCTCGGCTGGCGGCCAGGAAGTCCCCTCGCGCGAGGCGGCCTCCCCGATGTGACCCGCCCCGCCGAGCCCCGGCCCTGCACGCGGGTGAGTGGGCGCGCGGCCCGGTGCAGAGGGCGCGGGAGCGGGGCGGCAGAGGCTCCGGCCGGGGCTGTGGGCGACGAAGCTGGGCCTCGGTCGGGCGGCTCCCCGGCCGCGGCAGAGCCCCGAGGGCAGCGCCGGGTGGCCGAGGTCGCCGCCGCCAGGGGTCGTGCTTCGGGAGTGGGGCGGGCGCAGGCCCGGGGTCGGGGCCGCGCTGAGCTGCGTTTTCTCACGTTTGCAGCGGCGAAACTTCTCTGCTGTCCTGGAGCTGGGGCACCGGCCTCGCAACGACTTCCCGGGCTGCGGGGAGGGAGGAGGAGCGGACCACGTCCTAGGCAAGTCCCTCGGGCGCGGACTGGACTAGGAAGACTCCCTTTCCCGACTCCCTGGTTACTTGGCAGGCGCGGCCTGCTCCCCTGGGGGATCCCTCCTTGCCGCGGTCCAGCCTCCGGCTTCTGCGGTACTGGCGGTGAAGGCGGCTGGGTGGAAAGTGCCCGAAAGGTAGCTTGTGCGCCAGGTTGGGTGGGTACGTCCCTCGAAGGGAGCAGGTTTTCTCTCGCCGCCCTTTTCCTCGCCTTACACGTTTCCTTTTTCTGCTTCATTCCTGTAGTCTGTCATCAAAATTAGCAGGAAATAAAGAAGTGAGGAAAGGGAGAAAGAGGCTGGGCGCTGTGGGGAGGACAAGCGCCCGGCTTGTTTGGAGCAGGCGCGGCTACGGACCGCTGGCGCACCTCTGCCCGACCGGCCCTGCCCCCGCCGCTCTCCCGAAAGGCTTCCTTCCTTCTTGGGGAGCAGAGGTTCAAGATGAGTCTTCCGCTTCTTCTACACCATTTCTTTAGGACTTCAAATGGGTTTCTCGGAGGATCCTAAACACCAGAGAGGGAGCAAGAGGTGGGCGTTGGACATTGTGCCAGGACGCCAGCTGCGCCTCCGGGGGCTTCTCACACTGCTGCGTGGTGGTTGCATTTGGGGCCAAAGCTCCAAAATTGCCCCAGTATTGCTCTTAATATATCTGACCACCCCCTCCCTTCGTTGTCTTTTCTTTGTTTGGTGACAAAGCTTTCGGCAATAGCATAGCCAAAGATCTTGAGAGAATATTTTTTGTTTTCATTTCGGTTGCAGCCAGTTGATGTCTTTTGGTTAATAAGGATTTGTAAGGCAGGGTGCAAGGCATGCAGCCCCATCGTTAGGGAGCAGACCATCTGATGGTGGATACAGTGCCCAGAGCACAAAGGTGGGAGCCCCTGCCTGTTTTGCGAAGCCAGGGGAGGCTGCTACAAAAGCACGGCATCGGTGCAGAAGTTTTCTCCGTGTGCCTTCTCCTCTGTGTGCCTCTCGAAAGCAGATGGCTTTACTGTGTCAGAGATGGAGTTTGTAAGTCCCGATTCTAACCAGCCCAGTGTAGGACAGCTACTAGGTGCTAAGTAAATGTTTGTTGAACGAATGATAAATGCCAGCACATGAGTTGTTTGCACTTGTTGAGGTGGAAGAAAAATAGCAATGTGGCAGCAGCTCAAGCAATAGAAATTGGGTTCACCAAACTATTTATGTGAGTTTGCTGTTAGACCTTTAGTGTCCAAGATCCTATATATCCTTTGGTTCAATTTTTATTTTTTTTGAGACAGGGTCTTGCTGTGTAGTCCAGGTTGGACTTGAACTCAGCTATGTAGCCCAGGCTGGCCTCGAACTTGTAACCACCCTTCTGCCTCAGCCTCCCAAGTGCTTGGATTACAAGCATGTACCACTGTGCCTGGCATCGTTGGGTCTGTTTGTAAGTCTTTCCTCCCTTCATTCCGAAATTGTGGCATTCCTAGTGGAGTTTTGGCTGCCAGATAAGGAGCGCCTTGCTTATTTCATAGATGGGGAATTACCTGGGCACTGATATGGGAAGTGCTTGACCTTTGGTGGAGGAATTTTGCAAACCCTTCGTTTTCCTTGTCATTGGCCTCTTCTGTGTACTGTGTAGGGAAGTAGGGATTGCAGAGCCCATCGAGTTATTGTGGTGAGCTGAACAGTATTCAGTTTGGTATTTTACCAAGGTTAAATTAAATCCTGAAGACATGCAGCTTTTGGTTGGTGGCTGTCAATGGAGAAATTCTTCAAAAGTGGGAAGGGGTTGTGGGGTGAAGCTTAATGGTAGAATGATCGCTTAGCATGCGCATCAGGGATCCCTAGCACGCCAAAAAAAGAAAAAGGAAAAGAAAAAAAAGTGGGAAGGGCCAAGTATCAGCCCTGTCAGTCAAACTCCAGGGCTGCCCTCCTGCTGGCTTACCAGGTGTTCACCTCAAGTAGTAGAACACTAGGAAGACCTGGGGAGCAGGAGCTTGTGTGCATGCAGCTGGCACTTCCTGGATGGTTTCTTGTCCTTTCCCTGGGGCAAGTGCACAGGTGGGTGCTGCCCCAATACAAGGCTGGATGGCTCAGATTAGTCCTTGCTGTGGACCACTGTGCAGAAAATACCCTTTGGATTCACTGAAACTGTGGAGGCTCTCCTGATTCTGGCTGAAATCACCCTAAGCCTTGGAAAGAGGACCTTGGGTCCTCCCCCTGGCCACTGTGAGTGGTTTGGGTGGCCTTACTTTCAGTTTCTCATCTGTCTCAGTGAGCTGGGTAGGACTCCAGCTAGCTAGTCTGTTAGGCGTTGGAAGGGAAGGAAGCAGAGCAAATATTATAGTGTAGCAGGTTGTGGGAAGAGAAGGACCTCAGCCCTGCCTAGTAAAAGTTGTTACTGAGCCAGGGACTTGGACAGGTTGGGGAGATAGGGCCCTGAAGGGGAATGGTGCAGTGGGGCTATAACTGGAAGATCCTCTGTTCCCAGTTTATTTGTGCTGCTCTCCCCTTCCAACCTTTTAGGCCTTGTAGTTATCTTTCCTCTGTAGTTTGTCTTTCCTTCCTTCTGTACCCTGATCCCATCTGGTTGAAGTGGCTGGCTGCTGGCTGATTAAAGGCTGAATTGGTTCTTTCACTGTGCAGGTCTCAGCCCTTCTGGGGCCCCTCCTGCCCCCCAGAGTGGGCAAAAAGCTCTCAGCGTTGAGCCTGTAGTGTATCTTTTGGTCCATAGAGGCCAGCTGAGATAAAGAGGGTAGAATGTAAGGTCCTTTTGTCCTCTGCTACTAAAGTACAAAGGCAAGGACTGGGGGACTCACTGAACCAAAGGCTGGGGCTGTGAGTTGGCTGGAGGGGGAGGCAGCTGCAGGTTCCCTTCCCAGGAACCTGGGAGTCAAGTCTGGGTTGTGTTAGCTTTCAGGTGGCCCAGCCAAGACAGAGTTTGTGGGTCTCTTGGATTTTGTTTTTAATATCTTTTAGAGATGGCAAATGTGATGGTTCTTATAGTACAGGGAAGGTGAGGGAGATGGTGTGTTTACTTGTGAGAGGGCTCTGTTGGTGCAAGCTTTCCATTAATGTTGGCTCGTTGATGTTTGTGGAGTAGAGATGGGTCCTGTAGCTGTCTGTCCTGGGTTAAGGACAGCAGTAATGGCAACCAAGTATGATTTGTTGGTCCCGGGTCTTTCTCTATTTCACACACAGGCATTTTGGTATTGTTTTGTTTCTTTTTGGTATTGAGGATTGAATCCAGGGCCTTCCTAATAAGCCTGCACTTCAGCAGTGGGCACACATTTTAAAAGTAGTATTTGTTTAGTGCTTTTTCTGTACCAGTCCTGGTGTTGAGTACTTCTCAAACATTATTTCTTATAATCTGTGTAGCAACTTTTGAAGTAGGTAAATTGATTATCTCTATTTCTCAAAGGAGAAAATAGGCCTGGAAGAGTTAAGTAGCTTGTCCACATTTGAATCTAGGTCTGTCTGATTCTAAAACCCCATACTGTTTCACTTCCCTCTCTAGGTGGATGGGTAACGAAGTCAGCATACCCTTTTTTTTTTTTTTTGGTACGGGGGAATCGAACTCAGGTCCTTGTGCTTGCGCAGCAGGCGGTGGCACCAATGAGCTAAATCCCCGGCCCTTCCCTTCTTAATAGTCATCTTGCAAAAGTTAAAAAAACACTCATGCTGATCGTTGTCACCTGCATATCCTTCTTGCCACACCCAGTCCCTCTTCCTTCCCTAAATGGAGACTTGCCTGTAGGCAGACACACCTAGCCACTTCCCCCTGCACAGAAAGGCTGAGGTAGAGGAAATAATGATGTTTTCTTTCTCTCCCTGCCCCCCCCCCATCTTGGTGCCCTCTGGTTGACACAGTGGGGTAGAGCTCCTGGCCTCCTGTGCAACTGTTGTAGGAAGCCCCACAGTGAAGCTGTGTTCTTGTGTATTCTAAGTGGGGATTTTCAGGATTCTGAATGTGAAATCTCTGCTTCTGCAGGTCATTTATAGACCGGATGTGACTGCCTGCCTGCCTGCTCCAGTGATCTTTCTGTTGGATGGTCTGAGGCACCTTCAGCGAGCAGGCCTTCGTCATGTAAGGGTTGCACCAGGCATGTTTTCTGTGAGCATAGAGAGGTGGCTGTTCAGAGAGGTCATAAGTCTTTAAAACATTTTGTTGTTTTTGGCATCTTCACCTCAGTGGTATCAGTTTTCTATTACTTTTGCCTTTCTCCGAATATTTATTTCCCTTTTAAAATGCCTTCTTAAGTGTGTCTTTTCCTCTTCCCCCAATGCTGGGGTCTGGGCCTTCTGGCCCTGTCAGGGTTGGTGGGTGCCCTTTCTGCTCCTCCCCATTCCTGAGGGTGTTTGCATTCCTCACCCGGCTTCTGCTGGGAACATGGTCCCAGTACATTCCCTTCTCTCTCACATTATTCTCCTGGCTTGGACTGAAATCTGTTCTTATGATCATTTGCAAGATGCAGTGATATTATAGCAGGAAGAAATGGATGCTTCCACACTTCCTAAATTCCGATCTTTAGCCCCTTCCAAGGGCTGTACTCAGAAATTGCTAATGCTTATGTTTGTTATTGTTTTTTACTGGGCTGTTAGCATCACTGGGGCCGTGTGGCTCCACGGCATGTGCTCGTGTGTATTCACATCTAAGCACACATGAACTCTGCTGCTGTGACCCCCACATGCTTGAGCTGTAAGGGTTGACACCTGCCCTCAACATCCACCCCTCTGTTTCCGGCTATTACTGGCCTCTTGGACACCTCTGGTGTCTTTTCTAATAAGCTTTCTCCTCATACAAGTTTAGCTATTTTCCTCTCTCCCTGTTTCTGCTGCAGCTGTCTCTAGCCATTGTCCTGGGAGGACCCAAGACAGGAGCTGTACTCATTGTGTATCACTCGACTGTCACGAGATGTCCTCTTTATTCTTTCTGGAACAAGATCCTAGCAAGTCCCTGGCCTGCCATCACAGAGAATCCCTCAAAAAAAAAAAAAGATCTTTTATTTTTTTTTCAGTTTTGAACTGAGGTTTTTATAATCTGGACAGTGCCGTTTAAGGCTTTGTTATCCCGGCCTCTCCTTTTTATTGATCTCAAACATATCAGAGTAGCCAGGCTGATGAATCACCTGTATTTCACTCTAGTATTTCCTTTGTTTCAAAACTGTATTAACTATCTTAAAAATCAAGAGGGATGATATAGCAAACCACAACTTAATGTTTTAATCTGTTTTATTTTTTAAAATTTTTTTGCTGGTACTAGGGATTGAACCCAGGGTCTTGCCTATGATGAGCAAATGTTCTACCACTGAGCTACATGCCCCACCCCAAACTGCAGCTCTAATTTAATAGCTCGATAGCTTCTTGTAAAAAAATTGAGTTGTCTATCTATATTTTCATTTGCCCATCCAGCCATTTTATTTTATTATCTTTTGAAATATTATTGTTATTATTATTAGTTTTGCAAAGAGGTTTTGGTGTGTTGCCTAGGCTGGCCCTAACCTTCTGGGCTCAAGTGATCATCTTGCTTTAGATTTCTGAGTAGCTGGACTATGTGTTTATACCACCACACATGGCTATCTGTTTATTTTCAAATGTCAACCTCATCTCCTAAGAAGGAAAACCTTGGGGGTCCTTGCCAGGATCTTTTTTTTTCTTTTTCATCTGGACATTGTGTGGCTCAGACATGCATTGCACAAAGACTTGGGCCTGAATACTGTGTTGGCCCCAGGGACGTGGGCTGCTCTTGTGAGGAACCAAGCAGCAGGAGAAAGGATGTGATTATTAGGAGCTGTGGCAATAGGAAGTAAGAAATTCAGTAGGTTGGAGAGTGCAAAGCCCTCTGGGCAGTTATCTGCCAATGTGTAAGATATTGATTTATTAGATTTAGGTTTTTGAAACACTAGAGAAGACCCATAAGAATACTATTTTAATCCTGGTGTATGTACACCTGGCTCTGGCAAGCTGAGGCAGAAGAATAACAATCTCCAGCCCAGCTCAAACAGTGTAGCAGCTTAGTGAGCCTGCTTCAAAATAAAAAGTGCTGGTAACTGTCAAAAAAAAAAAAAATCACTGGTGATATAGCTCAGTACCAAGGCTCTGGGTTCAGTTCCCAGTACTGGAGGGGAGGGCAGAGGAAGGAGCTCTAATTTAGGCATGATTTTGTTTGTTTGTGGACTCTGGAGTATTGAGAAATTTATTCTCAGCTTCAGAACTTATGTCCTAGGGGTGGGAGTGTTTGTGGAATTAAATTGCTTTCTTGTCTAAGTAAAGTAACATGTTCTGTGTAGAAAATTGGAAAATATAGAAAAATATATAAAAGTAAATGAAATTCACCTATAACCCATAGATAATAAGTTGATATTTTGTGGCTACCTAGTCTTTTAAAAATACATGTATGATAATAACTTAGCTGATTGAGATAGTATTATCCATCATTGAAACATTTACAATTTTTAAAATAGAAATTCTTTCGCAGTGGCCATCTTTTTGTTTTAATCTGCACCCATTTACTTGGATGGGATCCTAAAAGTAGAATCACTACTTTCTACATGGATGTTTTTAGCCCGATGTTTCACCAGAGAGGTCCCTCCTCTTGTCCTGAGTATATACACATCCTGCCAGTTTTTCAAGTGGATGATGCCTGTTTTAAGCACCAAATTTCTCTTTACATTTTAGCCTCTCATACTTCCCTCTCCTGTTGAGTATATTCTCTTTTCTTAGGGTCTCGGTCCCAACTGTCTCTTGTATGATGTGACATAGGCCTAATAAACGTCTCAATTTTATTCTTGCTGTGAATTGCTGATGGTAGAACCTAAGGCATTGAATGGGATTGTGGAAGAGGTACTTTGGGCAGAGCCAGGCCCCCCCCCCCCCCCGGTCTGTGGTGGGCAGCCTTTAACCTAGTCCTGCATGTCTTTCAGTCGCTGGCAAATGTGAGCTGGGAATCTCAGTTTAATTCCCATTTAACCCACTTGCTACTGTTGATTAACAGGCAGCTTTATGCAAACTCACTTTCTTGGTCTATTTGACTTTTAGCAAAACTAAATATTTAGCTTATTTTCATTTATAGCACATACTTAGGAATTTATACTCTACTGAAGAAATCTGGATCATATAAAACTTTTGTTTTTATTTTACTTTTGATTAAAATATTAGTTATTTCAATTATGTGGGGCCATGTTGTACATGCATGCCTGTGAATATGTGTGTGTGTGTGTGTGTGTGTGTGTGTATGGGGGGGGAGATTATGTGCACATGTACTCTGGACTTGCATTTATCAAAGCCCAGGGAAAGAAGATGAAGTAGGAAACAAACGTGAAGGAATGCTCAGCTTTACTAGATATTGTATATTTCAGACTAGCAACAGTTCAAAATAGTGAGTACATTCAATGAATGTAAGATTGTAGTGATAGTAACTATATTACTAGTTGCAACATAAAGAGCTAAAATATTTTTAGAAAGTAATTTTGTAATAGGTCTCAACAAAAGATCATAGCCTATGACCTGATCATGCTGTAATTGGAAGTTATGCTTTCTCCAAGTAAAAGAAGAAACAAGGCATGAAAATATGAAATATAAGCATTACTTATAACAAAAAATTGGCTATAACCTAGCAGTCTAATCACAGAGAAATGGTTAAATTATAGTAAAGCCAATGCAATAATGTTTGCAACCATTAAAAATAATGATTATGGGATCACAATGATCAAGATATGTTATGTGCATGTACCAGGTCCCCAAAGTCAACATCACTGTTATGTATTGCAAACTAAGAAAAAAATGATTATAAACACTGTGTACCAACATGGAAAATGTTTGTGGTATCATTTTAAATGTAAAAAAAGGCCAGTTATGTGGATAGGGACATGAAGAAGTTTGCAAAAGTGAAAATTGTTGGCTGGAGTGATCTTTAAAAACATTCCAGGGCTGGGGATTTAGCTCAGTGGTTCCGCCGCCTGCCTCGAAAGCGCACGGTCTGGAGTTCGATCCCTGGTACCAAAAAAAACCCCAAACAAATAAAAACATTACAGCATTGTTATATTACAGTTTTTGTACCTAAACCTGAAAGCACTAGGGAGGTTTTGCTTGCTTTGGAAAGACAGGATGTCGAGTGGAGTGGCAGAGATTCTTGACTTACAGATATTCTGTGCTTCTTGTCAACCAGGTGTTGTGAAGGCTAGGAAGCTACTTGCTAGAGAGTTTCAGTGTATGAGATCAGAAGGGAAAGGACCAGCAAGAGAGGGATGTCTGGTGCTCTACTCCAGGGCAAGCATTTCCAGTGCTGTCCTGAGAGGGGCAGGGAGGTTCACTGTCACGATGTGGCCTCAGGGCTTCCCTGGGGAAACTGGGGTGAGACAGGGTGTGTGAACTCAGGTCTCAGGTGAAAATGCAGTTTAAGGGCTGGGGATGGAGATCAGTGATACAGGGCTTGCTGAACAGGTGTGAAGTCCTGGGCTTGATCTTAGCACCACCAAGTGTGGGGAGGGTCAATGTAATGTAAGTGATTTTTGGTTGTGAGAAACTGGTTAAAATTATATAATAAGAGGAGTGTTGTGAGAGTTAGGAGGATGTTTTTAAAGACCAGATTTTCCCTGGGTTTGGTAGGGGAAGTTTTAGGTGACGGTAGAGTTGACCTTGGTATCTGCAGGGACTGGTTCCAGGCCACACAGAGGTACCAAAATCCTCTGATATTCCAGTCCCTTCTGTTAAATGGTGTGATGTTGGCATATAACCTATGTGTGTCCTCCTTTTAAGTCACCTCTGGATTACCTGTAATACTGTATCCAGGGTAAATACTATGTAAATCATTATACTGTATTTCTTAGGAATAGTAAGAAAAAAAAATCCATACATGTTTGGTACCAACATAATTTTGTAAAAAAGGATTTTCTAATTCTGTTTGATTGGATGCATAGATGCTGATGTCTGGATACATGTTTGTGTGCCAAATTGTTTGACACTTTGGTACCAATTGCTAGCACCTCTTTGCTCCCCACTTGTTAGTGCAGCCTGGGGGTGGGGAGCAGAGGTAATTTTCACAGAGGAAAATCCAGAGAAGACATGGAAGATGATGGTGATGTGGTTGAAGAGACAAGGAGAAGGAACATGGGGACCTTGGGAGAATAGGTTCTGTGTACCAAGTCTTAGCAACTGTCGTGACCAAGGATATTCAAAGGAGACCAGGAGAAACTGTCAGTTGAAGCAGGCCGAGGGCTGCAGGTCTGCGTTCTGTGCGCTGAGTGCTTTCTATGTGGTTGGTAACTGTGATGCTTTGTTCTCCCTCCACCTCCCCTGTTCTTGATGAGCCCTGTGACTCTGGCTTCTTGGGACAGCGGGAACCCCCCCCCCCTCCCCGCGCCCCCACTGGGAATCCTGGGCTTACAGTCACAGGATATATTGTAGCCAGAATTCTACTTCTTTTCTTTCCTTTTTGGTCCACTAGGGGCTTTTCCTATCTATGGATCCATGCAAATGGAAATTACCCTCAAGAGAAGTTAGATGTTGGGAGACTTTTGGAAAGAATGCCTTCTTGGTGTCTCTGGCTTGAGAAGGAGAGGTATTGATTAACCCTGCAGGCTGAAAAAGGGGACATTGAAAGCCAGCATTAAGTTGGACTCCCCTGGGCCCCCGCATAGTCATCTTGCTCTTTTGTTGGAGTCTGTATGCATTCTCTTAGAGATGTCACTGGAGTAGCAGTAGTCAGGCAGTGTGAAGAAATTCTGTCTCTGCAAGTAGATTGGCATGGAGGGGATTTGCCTGGTTTTTTTAGGGGGTGGTGTTAGTGATTTCCATCATCCTGACCCGAAGGTCTGTGGCCTTCCTGGAAGGCTCAGACTTTCTGCATAGACCCTGTCCTCTCCCATCACCTGTGTGGGGGCTGCAGCCTTGCTGGGTATGCGCTTCCGCCCAAGCAGTGCCTGCCTTTGTTCTGCTGTCCTTGATCCAGTGTCTGCTGGAAGACTTGAAGAACCCATCAGGTATCTTCTCACTTTTGGCTTGCGCCTGCCTTTTATTTCCTAAACTCAGACTTCCTCCGTGTGAAAGGGAACCTGGGATGGAAGCTTAGTGTGAAAAGCTGGCTGTAATATAGTTAAGCTGCTTTGTGCAGGGTACGTCTGTCCCCCTAGCCCACCTATCCTCCCCTCCTACTACACTGCTTCCTTCTCCTAGGCCATGCTTTTTAAAACCTCTTCTTCCTTTTTATCCCTTTACTCATCTCCTCTTTTACTTCTGCTCTTTTGACTTCCTTTTTAGCTGTGTCTTTCCATCTTTGCCCTATTTCTCTGGGAACTTTACTGTTTCTACCTCTGCCACCCTCCAGTGAGTATTGGCAGCATCTCCCAATGTTTTCACTGATTGCTGTGTTTCCGGTCCCCCTTGGGATTCTGGCTTGCATTTAGACAGAGGAAGGGGTTCATTAGTATCTGTGTGTATGTGTGTGCGCGCGCGCGAGAGAGAGAGAGAGAGAGAGAGAGAGAGAAAGAGAAAGAGAAAGTCTTTTTTCTTGGGATAGCCTCTCAACACTGCAGTGCCCCTTGTAGAGGTGAAGAGAGCAGAGCACCCCACCAGTCACCACCCCGAGGGCTCACTTGACCTCGGGGTGTGTCTCTCTGCTCCAGGCTTGCCCCGTTGGTGTCTGGAAGATGAGGGCTGTCAGACCTCTGTGACCTGCTGGCTGACCTGTATAAAGTTGGATGGCCCTGGCCAGCACTCACAACTGCTTGGCTATGGACCAACGCCCTTGGTGGGCCTGGGCTGCTGCATTTTGCTCTCTTAGAGCTGGTGGGGGCTCCATGATGGATGTCACCTGTAATTGAGAGTCTGAGTGTCCTGACTGCTCTGAGCCCTGAGGAGCCTGTGTCTGCTCCTGCCTGGTGTATGTGGATTGGATGTCTGTGCGTGTTGGCAGATGTTCTTCCCTGGGGAGGAGTACAGAGCTCCCAGCCTTTCCTCGGGCTCTTCAGAGGGTCCTGAGGAAAGAGAAGGGCAGAGGGCTTGAAGGTGTGGCTCACCTCACCTCACCAGAGATCTTGTTCTGGAGTCAAGTGCTCAGGGTTGGAACTTTTGGTTCCTCATTCTTTTAGGGGTGAGGGATCTCTGCATAGCTATGAGTCTGCTCAGGCAGCCTTTCAAACCACCATGGACTGAGGCAAAACAACAAAAATTTATCTTCCCACAGTTCTGAAGGCTAGAAATTCAAGATCAGGCTGTCCACTGGTTGGTTTTTTCTGAGGGCCACGAGGCAAGGATGCATGCCAGGCCCTCTTGTTGGCTTGCAGGTGGCATCTTCTCCCTCTGAGGCCTCCAATGTCCAGATTTCCCCCTTGTAAGATTATGTCCTAATGGATTAGGGCCCACTCAGTGACTTCTTGTTAACTTAATTGCCTCTTTAAAGACCCTGCCTCCAAACACAGTCACAGTTTGAGGTAGCAGGAGGTTAGAACCTCAGCATAAGAATCTTGAGAGGACATAGTAATGGCCAGGTAAGGTAGGCACAGGCAGATCAGGGCTGAGAGAAGGGCTCCTCACTTTTAACCCTGGCGGTGCCCTCTCTGAACAAGTTCCCGGCAGAGTTTTATCCAGGTTTTTAAGTTGGAGCTTCAGTTCATTCTGAGATAGTTTCTTCACGTGTAAATTAAGTTGTGATCCACTTCACAAAGATTTGAGGAGAGTAGTGGTAGTAACTACACTGATGATGTGTTTACTGTGTGACTAACAACCTTGTGAGATGTAGGAGTTAGTGTTTTCCCTATTGTACAGATGCAGAAACTAGGGTACAGAAAGATCAAACAATTTGGGTCACATAATTAATTTTGTAATTTTTTTTTTTTGGCTACCGGGGATCGAACTTGGGACCTTGCACTTGTGCGGCATGTGCCAGAACCACTGAGCTAAATCCCCTGGGTCACATAATTAATAAGTTTCCAGAACAGGAATTTGAACACAAGCTCCTGAAAGAAGAAAGTCTAGGTAGGCCTAAGTAAAATGCCTAAGGCCGCCCTTAGCCTGGAACGCTTAGGAGTCCATATTATGGCTTTTGCTGAGGTCTCCAGGGTCTGGGTAGGGTGGTACCTTTAGCACCTAGGTATGGAAGCTGGTAGAGGGTCCCAGCCTGGCTTCTCCCAGAGGTGAGTGAGAACAGGCAGACGTGAGATTCCTACAGGCCCTGGATAGTGGTCTTCACCTTCTTTCTCACCAGCACCCCCTTCCTGCCACGCAGGGTGATGTGAGCAGAGCCCAGGAATGCCTTATGTGGATCGGCAGAACCGAATCTGTGGGTTTCTGGACATCGAGGAGAATGAGCACGGCGGCAAGTTTCTGCGGAGGTACTTTATTCTGGACACCCAGGCCAACTGCCTGCTCTGGTACATGGACAACCCCCAGGTGAGAGGCCAAGTGGGAAGAGGCACAGCCTGGGAGGAGCACACAAGGGCTCAGCCTCCAGGGCCTCATCAGTAAGGAGGGACAAATCCCCAGACATACACAGATGCAGAGGTGCACAAGACACTTGTATCCATGCAAAGAAAACTGTCTCAGGGGATGGGCTGTAGCTCAGTGGGTTCAATCCCCAGCACCGCTAACAAAACAAAACAAAAATAAAGAAAAAGGAAACTATCTCAAATCCTAGCTTGGGGGAAGGGAAGCCCTTCTGGACCTAGATCTTGTGCTTTTTTTTATGTGCAGGAATTTAACCCTTGCAAAAGTCAGGCAGAGGCTGGCCAGGCTGGCTCCAGGGCCAGGGCATGGCTTGCTCCTCTCATCGGGGCTGTGGCCTGGTGGCTACTCCTGCTCTTCCAGTCTCAGGCCTCTCCCCAGTGAAGTATGTGACCTGGTTTTCGGAGAGGGACCAGTGTTGGATTCTTTTGGTCTCCTGAATCAGGAAGTTATGGAATCCTGAGTTGGATGTGACCTTGGAGCTCACCTAGTTTTGCTTCCTGATGGTACAGATGAGAAAACTGAGTCTCAGACATTGCGGTTGACTTAGGCAAAGACATAGTTAATGGCTTTCTTAGCATTTTAAGGAATCTGGAACAGAGATGGAGGCTACCTAAGTTTTATTGCTATGCCTGGGGGTCCCTGGAATCATCATTGATCTGGGAAAAAATTGCTCTTTGGGAGTTCATCTGTTTTGTTTCTGTTGTTTTTTCTGGTATTGAGTGCTGGGATCATGGCCAAGTGGGGATGGAGGAAGATGTGTGGGCTGGGGTTTGGCTCTGTTCTGAGGATTGGGAAGAGAAGGTCAGAGTGGTGAGGGATGGATTTGTGCTCTAAGATGTGATATGCAAAAGGGGTCCTGTGAATCTTGAGCTCACTATCTAGGGGCCAGCCCTCTGGAGGCCTTTGACATTTGTCTTCTACATTTGATGGCTGAGTGAAAACATTGTAGATGCAGAAGACATATGCAGAAAGTCAGCTGCTGTGAGTTCCCTTCTCCAGGAAGATGGCTCTCAGTATAGCTGTGTCCTGCGCACCTCTCACCCCGGAGAAGCCAGACCCTTACTCTCATTTGACTGGCTTCTGCATCGGACACAGTCCACTCTCTGCTTGTATCTCAGTGAGGCTTGGTCTAATTTTGCTTCAGGCCCTACTGCCTTAGTTTCCCTGCCTTTGCCCTGTGCAGATGCCCTCCTCTGGCTCAGCAGATCCATTGTACATGAAAAGAGAATTGAAGGTCTTCTTTGCCACTGTGGGAGGGGCTTGGAATTAAGTCTTTGTTTCCAGTGGGCTTCACTTCTGGCACCCTAGGAGGAGCCCTGGGGATGAGGGTCTCCCTGTCCCTTTTCCCTTGGTTTCCCTTCTCCCACTTACCTGCCATGTTAGCTCAGTGAAATGGAATGGATTTTTGTCTTCATTTACCTACTTCCCACTGTGCTTCCCCACAAGAACTACCCCAAACCCCCATCCTCTTGCTTAGGGAATCCAGCTGCCTCTCTGGAGAACTGGGCCTTTCTTCAAACCTTGTGCCACAGAGAGTCTTGCTGTCATTGACTGGTCTCCCAGGACCACAGTGACACTATCTGGGATCTTGACTGTTGCTGGTTGTTCATTTCCCTCATTCTGACCTTTGGTTTCATTGTCACTTGGGCCACCTTACTGAGTGGCCCTGGGTCAGGTGCTGCAGTGGGACCCATCCTGCTCAGGGCAGCCTGCCTGACCCTGGCCCTGTGATCTTGGGTGCTCTTTGTGGGAACCTCCTTTGAGTTTGAATCACCAGACAGAACTTACATGTCATCCAGTGCGGCTTTCCTCTGCTCTTGCCCATGGGAGGGCGGGGACTAGGACTGGAGGTGAAGCAGCGGGCATGTCCCATCACTAGGGCTTCTTCACATTTTCCCAGGAAGGAGTAGATTTCAGTTGGCTCGGCATAAGCCCCCAAAGGGAGAGACTTGCTGTGACACAGTGACAGTTCAGAACTTTTCATTTCTTTAGTTCTTCGAGTCTTCATTGTGTTCATGGTCAAGCAACACTCTAGACGTGAGAGTAGATGCTTTGGTAAATTATAAAATGGTACTACTGAACGTTTATCCCTATGTGCTGAGCACAACTCATTGGATTTTCATACTGACAGCAAGTTTAATTGGTAGATATTATTGTCCTCATTCTAAAGGTGAAGTACGTGAAGCAGAAAGGGAAAGAAATTGGCCCACAGTTACATAACAGGAAAGTGACAGAGCCAGGATTCTGAGCCTGGCAGTTGGCACTAGTTCTTCTGTCATTGTTGCTGATATTGAGACAATCATCTCTGGGTTTCTTGGGAAGGAGAAAGCCTGAAGAGGTGGTCTCTGATGAAGAAAGAAGCTGGAGCACTCAGGCTGAGGAGGCTCTAGCAGGCAGAGAGCTCATCTGCTTTAGCTTTTGAGCCATATAGTGTTCAGCACTGGATAAATGTTTGCTCACTGAATGAATGAATGGTTGGACAATTGAAAGGAGGCCAGGGAAAGAGACTGTCAGGATCAGGTCCTCAGGAGGTACAGAGTGTTTGATTCAGCTCTCCTGGGACTGGGGACAGGGCCAGAACCAAATGGAAGCCTGCTGACTGCAACACCCTGGGGATGTGGGTCTGTCCCTGTGGGAGAGGCGCTGAGACTCATTTGGTCACTCTACATCTTACTTTTTTGGGGGTACCGGCTATCAAACTTGGGACCTTGAGCTTGCGAGGCAGGCGGCAGAACCACTGAGCTAAATCGCTAGCCCTCTACATCTTACTTTTGAGGGAAAGGAGACCCTTGATGTGGCACCTTTGTTTGGTTTTTTTGGGTTTTTTTTTCCTGTACTGGGAATCGAACTCAGAATCTTGTACTTGCCAGGCAGGTGCAGCACTACTGAGCTAAATTCCTGGCCCACCACCTTATTTATTTAATAGGCATTAATAAGCAGGGCTTTCTGAACCCAGGTTTCTGATCTTTGCCTGGTGAAGCTGCCTGGTAGTCTGTATGCCCTGGGCCTGTTTCTATTGCTGTCTATACTGCTGTTATGACTAGTGTGGCGGATACTTCCTGAGTGGTTAGCACATACCAGCAGTTGTATGAAATGCTTTGCATATATTATCTCATTAAATCCCACCAATAATCCCTTGCTATGTTGTCCAGGGTGGTGTGCATCTCCTGGGCTCAGGCAGTCCTCCTGCATCAGGACCTCAGGGACAGCTGGTGTCAGGTATCAATATGTCAGAATGCTGCTTGCAGGATTAGGAGTTGTAGTATTCCTGTGCTGCTGCACAAAGGGGAAGCTGTAGGGCCTGGAGGTGGAATCTCAGGTGGAAAATTGTCAGCCCTGGGCGATGAGATCAAGGCTGCAAACTGGGCTCGGTGACTCAGTTGATTTTTGTCTGAGGAATGTCGATTTCTCTCCTAGGGTGTGGACACTCTAGAGGACCCTACACCTGACTTCTAGCCCTTCATTTCTTTATGGCCTGAGAAGAGGGAGACACCCAACACTTAACTACTGAACTTGCCCTGTGTGTCAGACACCAAGCGAAGCTGCAGATGCTGAGTCTGAAAGAGGGTTGAGACAAAGTCCTTGGTTTCACAGAGCCCACACTGCAGACAAGGAGGTGGAATATTAGCACAAATGGGGTAGAGAGAGCTTGGGACACCCCTTTGTGGAGGTGCAACGCTAGGGCTGGCTTTTGAAGGCTGGCTGAGATTAGAGTGATTCTTGCCACATATTATTCACATTTGCAGAGCATTTTGCAGGCTTTGAAGTATTTTCATGTACAGGGTCTCATGTGATCATTGTTTCTGCCTTGTCTGAGGAAGGGGGAAACAGTGATCATTATGGCGGCAGAGGATGCTAAAGATTGGGCTCTCCAGAAGAAGACCTTGTGAGGAGTCAGGTCCAGGACAAAGGTTTGTGGGTGAGGTCTTTCTTGAGGAAATGCTTCTGGGGGGGGGGGGGCTGGTCAGGAGGCTGTGAGCGCAGGCATGAGTCACCCTGGGAAGTTTTAACTTAGCCCGTGGGAGCTCTGGGGTGAGGTAAGCCCAAGACAGCAGGGCTGCCATGTGCTGCCCTGGATGTTCACTGCTGTGGGTCTGGATGTGTGGGTGACAGGCCTTCTGTAGTTGTCCCCTAGGGCAGAGCTGAAGGTACACAATGAGGAGTGATGGTGTCTGCCATGTGTCATGCAGTGGGGAAATGTCACAAACGCAGCGTGTGCAGCCTGGTGTGGCCCTGGATGTCAAGCAGGACTTAGAACCAGTGTGCAAAAGGAATCCAGGTTTTCCACAGAGGCATCAGTGACACCAATCTGAAGACAAAACCCATTAGCTGAAAGGGACACCTCTGAATGAAAGTTTCAGTATTATTGATTATGGCCATTGATTTGGCTAATGCATTTAAAAGCCAATATGCTGACAGCATCAACCAAACAAATAGTTCTTTTTCTATTGCAGTAAGGATATTTAACATGAGATCTACCCTTTTAATAAATTTCAAAGTGCACAGTGCTATGTTGTCGACTATAGGCATAGTATTGTTCAGCAAACCTCTTTCTAGAGCTGACTCGTCTGGGCAGTGCAAACAAATAATTCTTGATTAGAAACAAACACTGGTTGGATTTTCCTTAAGACAATACCGTGATGTGACACAGCTGTGTGTGTGTATATGTGTGTGTGTGTGCATAGTGGTGCTGGAGATTGAACCCAGGGCATTGTAATGGTAGGCAGGTGCTATGCCACTGAGGTACATCCCCAGCCCCTAGCAGTTGTATTTTAATGTTGGTCCCTGTCATGATAGAGAAGATGGAATTCCTTGGTTAGGGCTGCTCTGCTTTATCACAGTGACCTACAGAATAATGAACGATGTCAACCTCCCTAATGCCCAAGTGGCTAAACAATTGCAAGACTAAATTATATGGCCCTGAATAGGGGTAAACAGAAGCATGG